CTATCTGTGCTCTGCCCACCACGGGTATCGAAACCCTGTTTCTATCGTTGTAAGTCTGTAGACATACCGCTGTGCCACCAAGTACTAACTATAATCCTTCGTGTTTCGTTGGCAAATAAATCTAAGAAATAAAAAATCGGCCATACTGTAAATTTTGCAACTGCATTCGTAAGGCCAGTTTCCACTACAAGTGTTAAGTTCAACTGTAGGAATTACTTTCAATGAAATGCATAAAAATCCGTTTTGATAAACACAATTCTTCTTGGAATGTATATGGCTTATTTATTCTCATACATCAGCAATATTTGTATTGTGGATTATCATTATTCAAATGATACTTCGCTTCTTTCAAATAGGAAGAACAGTATAGATTTTTAACACACTCCTGAATACAAGAAAAGCATTTAAAATGGCCTAATTTTGTCTGGAAAAGGATTTTGAACTGATATATAGAATATGATGGTCATTTTCCCTAGAAACCCATTTGTAAATGACGGTTGCATAGTGTATTGTCGTAGAATTTTTCTTTTATATATAAAAGTTACAACTTCGGTTTTTCATCTATATATCAAGAGCCAAAACTTATCAGTTCTTGCATTTGACGGTCTTGAGCTGTAGCTCCGATATCTAACAAATACAACATAGGTATGAAGTTGCATTCGTTATAAAAACTAATCGATCATGACAGACTAAGTAGGTATTGGTTTTGTCCATTTTATTTGGAACTTGGGTACTTGTTTTGAATTTCGCGCAAAGCTCCACGAGGGCAATCTGCGCTAGCCGTCCCTAATTTAACAGTGAAAGACTAGAGGGAAAGCAGCTAGTCATCACCACCAACCGCCAACTCTTTTACCAACGAATAGTGGGATTGACCATCAGATTATAACACCCCAATGGCTGAAAGGGCGAGCATGTTCAAACCCGCGACCCTTAGATTGCGAGTCGAGCGCCCTAAACACTTGGCCTTGCCGGCCACTTGAATTTAGGACTTCCGTTGATTCAACATTAACGAAGTCTGAAACTGATATTGAAATGATCTCCCAGCTTTGTTTTAACAAATATACTTGCTTTAGCGAAATATCACGCTTCCATATATTTAGTGTCCTTGTTTCAAGTTTCCTCTTCATATCACTAAAGAAAATTAGTCATTTCCTTTGTACTGATGACGAATCACAATTACAACCAGGATGAAGTAGCAAATTTGTGTACCCTATACCTATACAGGGTGATTCAGAAGTACATTGTCAAGCAAATAATTCATAAATTGAAAAGTATAGGAAAATAAACGTTACTGGTAGGGAACGAGATATTGTGAATCAACCCTGTTGACGATATCATTGGGATCATACCTTTCGATAATTTTATTAACACATATCATAAGCCCAAAATGTCAATTGCAAAGGTGTAGACAATAAAAATGAAATATTATAAACAAAATCGCTTCTCAAAAACAACAGTAGGTGGCCCAAAATATCTCATTCCATCTCATTAACAATTTTTTCCTATTCTTCTCCATTTCTGAATTATTTGCCTGTCAACGGACTTCGGAATCATCCAGTATACACTGGCAAATGCGTGACTATAGGCATGCAGATTTATTTCTCTCTCTTTCTCTATAAATGTATATGGTTTTCGTAGAAACGAAACATAACATCATAAGCATAGCTGTCTCTAAAGTCAATAACTGGGATTTATTTTCTTTCGGCATTTTTACAGTGTTCTTGAAACAATGAACGAAATTGTCAAGTGCAAACAAGTTCAAAGTAGATCAATATAAAGAACATGTATATATAAAACGTTTGATTTATAATCACCAAAAATATGTATGATAATTATTTTCTACGATATTTTCTGAAGAAAAAACAAACAAGCTCAAACGTTACTGAGTAACATTAGTGATAGCTTCATGGATATTCTTTGCGATGCTGGATTAATTCCATATATAACATTAAACATGATTAACTTACACTTAGTAACAAAACTTTACTCGAAAGTCACTTTAGCTGGCCATAGTATAAATTTAGACTTAATCGGCCCAACAAGGTTAAGATTAGTAAATGTACAACTAAACAAGGCATTACATATGTTTGTTGATGTGTAAATGGTCTTTATCTACCCATAACACCCTAATAAGGTCAGTGGTAAATTATGTACATCAACGATGCTATATATGTGATTTGAGCAAGGGAAGCATGTCTTACCTTCGATCGTGTTGGGCCGATATACGAGACTGGATTCTCATAGATTTTGTTTATAAATATATAGCTTTTTTTTAAACACAAGTTAAGTTACTGAAAGGGTAAGAACCTATAAGATCTAGATTTAGAAAGCTTCATTGGTCCACCATACCTGCAACTAGGAGCTGGTTAGTGGTAAGGACTCTCTGTACTTCACTGGTAGAAGGGGGGGGGGAATAGTGCATTGGAGAGTATGGAGGAATGCAGCACTGGAGAAAGTGCAGGGGTGCCCATAAAACCCAATTTTTAAAAGCAGACCATTCCTTAGTTATGTAATCGAAGGAGCAACAGAGACAGGTTGCAATCCCCTTCTACTTTACTTAGGCTAGTCCATGAATATATGGTTTGGTACAGGCATACTTATGACGCAAAACACTGGGATGAAGAACCTACTAGTGGTCTTACAGAACATCCCATCACAACAATGGGTATTACTGACCTTACTGATCATACGGTAGGAACTTGAGAATATGTACACCTGAACAGGCATCACTCGCCACAGAGTGGGATTCAATATAGAAAAGGAATATGACCCTTTACAAAAAAAGAAAGACATTAATAAATGTACCAACTCATAGTTGGACAGATGTGTGTATTATGGCTACAGGCATTATGTGATATCCAGATGAGGACAAAATGGCCACCTGATAGGGCTAATGGGAAATTAATGTGTTGGGTGTGGTCCACCTGCCAGCCTGGATGATTTTCCCCAAATGACAATATAGATGGGAGGCCAGGAAAAGGTAAAATGTCTAATCTGATGTGATGACACCTGTAAAAACAAAGAGTAGGGAGTCAAGAGATAAGGATGAATATGCCAGCCTGATCAGTTGGCGAATCCAGCCTGTGGGGTGGTGAGCGAAAAATCACTTTGATAGGAAGGGTTCTAGTAGATAAATAAACGTGAACCACAGAAGGAAGCTGTGAAGGCAATAAAACATCTTAGATCATGCATAATACATAGAAGGCTATCTGGATCCAAACAATATTAGGGTGAACTTTATTCTAGTATAGATAGATGACACTAATTTTGGGAGTGTAAATACAGAAAACATGTCAAGAAGATATGAAAAAAAAACTATTATTATGAGCCCAAGGGGGTCGAGGTACGATGTGTCTCCCCCAAGTACAAAATCACAAGAAAATTCGGTCAGCGTGGATCCCAACATCTGAAGAAGATGGGGAAAATGAGGAGCGATACCAATAAAAGGTAACATACTTGTCTCCTCATATCCAAGAATGCTAATGATGGCCTGTAGGTGTCTGCAGGTGGGAGAAAAACCCTAACCAAATCGTCTTAATCTTACCTAGATTCACCAGACAAATAAATGTCTGGGCTGGGAAGAAACGGCTGGCCGCATGACAAACCCAAACTCCCATCAAAAAACTGCAACATCCACAGTGGAAGGTGCAAGGCCTAAAGCCTGAGACACAGCAGGTTAAAATGTTGTAATATTCATCACTACTGAAGTATTGGTAGTGAAATAAAATTCAGAATTCATGTTTAACTGGAACAAAGATTGAAATTAATAAAATACAGTGAGATTATCACTGTATAAAATGAGGCAAAAAACAACAACTAAGTTGATTAATAGACAGTGTGAAAAACAATAAACAGAAATTAAAGTGAAAGCACAAACAAAAATTAACACGCCTTAACACAACTGTGCCAAATCGAGAAGTGAAAATTTGTTTATACAGTATAGAGGGAACCAAGTGCAACAGGAGAATGTGTCATGTTCCTATTGGTGAAGAGTCATCCCATGCTTATCTGCATGCTAGAAGGAAGCTGAACCTTGTAGAAACATGGAGTAAGTGGGAGTTTCAAGGCTAGTTATGAGCAAAAACACGTGTGCATATAGAGGGCAGCACTGAATGAGAAAAGCTATTATGTGAGAGAGGTAAGATACCGTATCAGATAAATGTGTTTCCAGGAATTACTCATCATACAAATAAATTATTATTACCTTCAAATTTTAAGTAAAATATTTATATAATGTAGGATGCCTAAAAATTAATTTTTCACTCATCTTTGTACCATTATTTTTCTCTTGATTTGGAGGCTTTTAAGAACTAACACTGATTTTGTCCGGGGAACAACTAACAATATACAAAAGAAGCATATAATACCTTTCTCACACGATAAAATGTTTTAAAATATTGAAGTTCCCTAAAATTCAGATCGTTACTTTAAAATTGTTAAAATCTTTGTACAATTTGTTATAAATCCTTCACAATGAAATATGCCAGAAGTTATACTAGATAAAGCTACTTTAGACTTTTAGTCCAATGGATGCGAGTTAAAGACTGGCATGTGTTATGATCCTGTGTCCTTGAGTAAGGCACTTTACTTCAATTATTTCAGTCTACCCAGCTGTTAGCTGAAGGTTAATCTGCAATGGACTGGCATCAGAGCATGCGTTACCATTCTCATCCACACGTGCCAATTAAGTCAGAGCTCAGCAACCAATTCTATGTGCCATCTCGGCATGGGATGGATTTGACCTTGACCTTTGACACTATGTATAATAACAATATAGTTCATGCATACATGTAAAGTAAATTAAGTATTGAAATAGTCTTACTAACTTTACAAACAATTTGCCTGTTTCACTTTGTTTCTCTAGTCCTTCAACAGGTTATACAAAGGATTATGCTGATGAAGTCATATGTTATTTTACTCAAAAGCTACTCATGCAGGTTGATTTTACAAACCTTAGTAAATCTCAAATTTTTAATTATGAAAGATGTCTCTAAAATAAATACTATCATAGTAGTTTATTTTATTTACTCATATTCATACAGCAGGTTTATCTAAAACCTGTGTAAAAATATCATTTTTATAATGAAGATGACAGAATGTATTGAGTTCCAATAAATACTTCACAGAGATGAAAAAATAAATGCTAAATTATAACCTTGTCTATAATTGCAAACTATAGTATAACTATTTTGGAATTGAACTAAAAATGATAAATTAACAACTGATCTGGTACTTTTAACATAAGTTAAGTATGTGAGAAACAACATAACGCATTATGTTCTGTCTAAACTGAAATCTAGTAAAGAACAGTGTGAAAGCAAAATTTTGGAACCTTCATAATTGGGATATTGAAAGTCAAATTGTAACTTGTGTTTAATGTAAGTGTAAAAGTTGTTTTTGTTACTTGCTAAATGAAGTTAAATAGAGTACAAAAACCCATACATTGGAATATCATTTGACAGTATATAATTTGGGAATAAAATCACTTTATATCTCTTTTAATTTCAGATATCTTTAGGAAATGGGAACAAGGCAGAATTTTAACCTCTGAAAATGCCTCAGTAAAATCTTGGAAACTTCACTAACATAAATGTTTTAGTAGAGGGAACACAGTGTAAACAGAATAACCCGAGTTTAAGAAAATCAGTACTTCTATAAAACACAAGTTAACTCTCAACATATCTGAAATTAGTGTTGTCACTAATACAGCTATGTTTACTAATGACATTTCTGCATAGTATAAAAAAATTCAGGGAATACACAAATTCACTTTAAGAGGTTACAGAATCACAAAGGTGAGTAACAATGCACCTTACAAATAATATGCACTAAACACTCATTTTCATAAAAAACAAAACAAAAATACTCCAACTTAAGGAGATAATACAAACACAAAAACAAACTTGTCTTCTGTTACATGTTTAAGCTTCAAGACACTAAAACCTAAAAACACTACTAGTTGTCGAGATATTATGAGAACTTAAAATGCACTAACTTGTACATGGTTTTAAAATCTAGATTAGTCAAATTTATTGTACCAAACGAATAATACCTAATAGACATCCCAGTCGCTAAAAGTAACACATTTTATCTTAATTAATTCCAAGAGTTTATCAAGTTTTCTACTTAAAAAAGTTAGTTGTAATGCAAGATCTGACATCTGCTTGCTGGAGGCTTACAAAATCTGGACTGCTAGCAGTTTACATTATTAGAAAAACCTTGTATGTCAAGAATTATTAAAAAAAAGTAGTTATGCAACAAAGTATCTCTCATAATTTATTCTTCTAAATTTATCTTTGTCTTTTATATTATTTGCTGAAAATATTTTGAAATCTCAATTTCTGATTAAACAAAAACTATTTGCCATAATGATCTATTCCATTAACATTTCTTAAAAATTTGAGCATGTATAAATTTTTATATGCCAATTTTGTTATTTTATTTTAACCAGTGTTTGCTGTTAAAACAAATAAATCTGAAATTCATTTGTAATACTGAACTGTTGAACTATACTGAACATTTGAGTGCTGTCTTTTCAAAAAACAGAGGAAAACCTAGACACATGGTATCATTTAAAATATGTTTCACAGGTGAGTAATGATATAATCTGGATTGTGTTCTAAGCTTCATCCACATGCCTTGAGGCATGGGTAAATGTTGCTTATTACAAAACCCAAAATGAACATGTATATTTAATATAATAACATAACAAAGCACAAAATAGTTAAAAAATTCAAATATGTGATAAATATATACACATTTTATCATTTTTTAGTGAATATTATGTTATTTTTCTGACTTAGCATTTAGCATTGTGTCCTGCAGTTACTTCAAAACTCACAAATATGCATTTCTACTAGCTTCAACAATAAAATTACAAATATTTAGAATTGCAGTAATTAAGTCCCATGTATGGAACCGCAAGTCTGCACTATGATTTTGTACCTTAAAATAAGGAGCATCATCGAAATTACTAAAAATATTCCTTTTATTTCCTTTTTACAATTGATATATGATTAGTACAGGATTTTCAGGGCTTTTGTTTTTTTAAAAAGTGGTTTCAAATCTGGTTTTATTATGACTTCTTTAATAAGCTGTTCTTTTCAACTCTTGGCCGTGCCTGGAGTTATAAAAGCAAATTAATTTTAAAATGTGTTTTAAATTATTAACACGTAATCTACAATCTACTGACAACAATTAACTTCCTGGAAAGCTTCAACTAACCATGCACTTTTGGCTCATATTTCTTTCATCCTAATTTGAGCACTTTTACTATACCAACAGAACATTTCAATTTAACTTCACTGATCTAAAGTGAAATATCAGTGTAAAATACACTTAAATTTAACCTTGTTAACTTGAACATAAGTTCTATGACATCTACATTAGAACATATATGGAACTGTTTCATGGTAAATCACAACTGAAGAAATGTTAGGCTAACATAATTTTAGTTGGGCTTGCAGTTACCTGGAAGAGACAGAAAAATAACTGAGAATTAATTAAGTTATGATAAACTAATTCCCATACACTCAGTTTATATGCAACAATACTAGTCTCCTGACTTCTTTATAATATAGTTCAATATAGTTGGAAGAGTTTGTGGTTAGATATATATATATATATATATATATTTATTTATAATTCAAAACATGCCTTAACCAAAATGCTGCACAAATAAACAAAATCATCACTACAAAGGCTATAATGTGGAATGTAAGGGGTATTAACATCATTAACAGACATGAATACAAAAGTTCTTGCAAAAAGTAGAAGAGTATCTAAAAATTACTAGTTACAGTAGACTTTATGGGTGGAGGTTGGGTGTCATACTAGTTGAGACAACTTGGTAGGAATTTTGTTCTAGTATAATTTATCTGCTGTGCTACTAATATTACTTTATTAATTTGAGCTTTTATTACTATAATGGGAGCTGAAATGCCAACTTCATAAGATAAGGTTTTCTTGCTCACTGCCCTGATTGGCAGAACTTTTTCTTTTTCCAATTTTTCACTTCTCTTCTTCTAAGAACAGTCACCTTCCCACATCTGTCTGCAGGCAGTGAACATTGATACAGATGTGGTACACTGTGGACTTGAGTACCGACAACCTTCCTCTCTTATATTTTCTTATTATACTTTTTTTATAATTTTTCTTTATTTACATGAGAGGCTTTGTGAATGGAGGTTAAGATTGATAGATGGTGTATCACCACCAGGTATGTCCCACATCCACAGTCACCACCAAAAACAAGGTTATATCTTACACCACACATTATAGCCTGTGTCCTAGTGACTCTGTTTTGTTGTGAAGTATTTGGATTAAGGCTTGTTTTGTAATATAAATATGTTCTGTTTCATCATAGGTTTGGTCTTGCTGTTTGTAACAGTCCTTTTTTTTATGTAAACATTAACTTAATTGTTTACATAATGTTTATGTTTACTTATATACTATGTAAGTCAGTAATTTCAGAGCTAATAACAACAAGTAATGTGCCAGCAAGCTATTCAATCTATTAAAGTCTTTTCATATACTCACTCAATCAGGAGATAATAAATAACATAAATCCAATGATATAAGAACTTTTTTTCATTTAGGGTAATACTGAAATAAACCAATTGTTAGAGTTCTCCAATTTTTACATCTAATAACTAAAAGTCTACATTAGGAAAAACTTGTGTTACTGGACTTCTTCAAGAGTTTTAACTACTTCTCTGATCCCATGTACCTTCCAAATGATATGAAGTAATAATAAACAATGCTTATGTGATACACACTGGCTTACTTTGGAATCTTTAAAGATTTATTTAATTTTACAATTTTGCACAAACTATTCAACATGAGCAAAACAAGAATGTACATATACATAATTAAACTGAGTTTAATGAATACACAAATACGAGATAAATTTCATACCAATTAGTGGTTTGCACAAATAATTGTAATATTAGATAGTATAATGGAGAATATCCTATTACAAAGGGTTTTGTTTGGTTAGTGTAGCCATGTTTCTTGAATCATTAGATATGTTTATTTTTTTAAATATTGTAACTATATTATAAAGAACACTGACTTATGTTTGATTAGCCTCTATAATTTGTGTAATAAAGGAGGGTTATTTTTTTCTTTTGTAGATCTTTTATGATACAATGCTAAAACAACAGAAAGAAAACTTTAGCAAGAGGACAAAAAATCAATTGCACAATGCTAGTATAACCTATGTTTTCTACCAGACTATGATACGGTCAATTGAGTTTCTTGAACAAGTGACTATTTGAACTTTGCAAGTACCTACTGCTAGCATCACACTTAAAAAACAGCTGATACAGGTTGTATGACTCTAAACTTATTCCATGACTGTGATTCTCCCCCATCTTTTTAAGAGGCTTGAGTTATTTCAGTGTAAATTATCAGCTTCAGCATTGATATATGGCACAAAGAAAGACATTCCTTTTATATGTACAATTCCTGTAGTTACACAAGAATAAAACCTTGTATTACACAAACCACAGTCACACTATTTATTTAATACAAAAAAATAAACACACTTCATTTTATAAACAATTACAAAAATGTTCAACACTTACAAGTTAGCTAATAAACATGAAAGCAGTTTCCCAGAACTCTTGTGAAATGTCCCAAACACAAGGATCTACCAACTGTCCAATCTTACAACTTTACACAATGCTTGAGAAACACCAATTTCAATTTGTAAGACAGACAGATATTCAAGTAATAGTGATCATCAACTTCTTCTCACCCAACATTTATTTCAACTAAAAGGTATTCCAAAACATATTCAGGGACAAAAATTTAGGACAACTATTATGAGCTTCCATGACAATTTTCTTAGGTGATTCATCTCACCATGAAGAAAGTTTTACACAGTACTAAACACACACACATATATATATATATATATATATGTGTACTAATTTCCAATCTTTGCTTATAACTGTGGTGTTTAGGTACACTAATGTCCAATCGAAAGGTACGACATATATGCACACAGCAGGTTCCAGAAATATTACATAAAACAAAAACTTAACATGGACAGCAAAAGAAAGTTCTATGTTTACTGTTAAGACTTCTGACTGCTGGGGTAGAGAGGTAAGGCTACTAGTGTCTACAAGAGGCAAAAAACAGGAACCAGGATCACAATGATATCATACTGTTGTTGTCAGATCAAGATTCCGAGTGCAATATCCTTAATCTTTAGATTACCGACTTCATTAATCATTTCCATTCTATATATATATACATTCAAGGGAGATAAACCTTAATTCATAATAACTTGTACAAGTCTTTGTAAAACCCCACAAAATGAGTATGATTTTCCTCCAGGAGGGCATGACATAGAAACACACCCAAGCAAGTATAAGCCCTACAGAAAAATCGTAGAAGTAAATGACCATTGTCTATACTAGAGGATTAACATTTTATGGACTGAGAGTTATCACTGAAGCCCTTTACTTTTTCCTTGTCACAATGAAAATACTTAAACAAATTGAATTACATGGAGAACAAACTTATTAAACAGTATCTAGTTTTCGAATAAAAAATCATACTATTTAATTTATTTTTTCAATAATTTTTTGTCAGGAAATTCCCAAACATTTGTTGCCAGGGGCATTAAAAATACTTCCTTACACCTTAGAATTTCAATTTTTTTTTACTGATCAGAAAGTTCTTATATCCAGTCAATTTCAACTTGACTGATTTTCATCAACATATTTCTTTTAAAACTTTGTTTTGCTGATGGCAGTAATCACCACTTCTGTATATAAATTGTTAAACAGAATAAACTGACAAAGAATTATCAGTGATCTGAGACCTGACCTTTCAAAATGGTATCAGGTTAGAATAGGTAACTATTTGCGCAAACAGGATTCTTGGTCAGTCATTTTATATCTAATAAATAACCGTTTTCCATAACTTATAGGTTTTGATTTATGTGCATCATTTCAATAAAATAAATTTAAGAACAGTATTCAGTTAGTAAGGATTTTAAACCCTAGAATATTTTGCTGTCTTTACTATAATCTCAGAACCTAATAAGGCTTATCCTCGAAGAAGAAAATTACCATATTTCCATGCAAGTATAACTTAACAAATACATTTTCAGGAATAAAAAGAATGTGTAAAGTAACTGTTAAATTTCCTAGGTCTATGATCTTTTCCTAAATATTCTAAACTTCACACTAAATTCCATTGTTGTTCCCTGCAGGAGCAACATCTAATCACTTTTTCAAATCATTTTATATTGATATAAATTGTTTATAATCTGAAATTGTTCATGACATTTAAACTCTGCCTGTAGCTAGTTTCAAAGAAATTTTTCATTGATAGTTGCTCCCATCTTTTTATGACCTCATAGCATGTGATGTGAATGGAAGCCTGAAACAAATTTTCAGACAGAGAAGTAAAATCATGACAGAAACAAGACTTTGTTAATTGTATTCTCAAGGGATGATAGTTTCGTAGAAGATAAAAGCTTATACATTTGGGATAGGTAAAAAAATTGGTAAGTGCATTGCTTTCTGGCAAGACTCCTTGAAGCTGTGCTGCAATCCAAGTTTGTAATTTTTTATACATTTTCTTTGCAAATTATACTAAATAAATATTACAAAATGAAAAAATATCAATAATAAAATATTTTTTAAGTAACAAATTATTAAAATTGTTAGAATTATTGCTTTAACTTAAATTGTGAAATTTGACTTGAAGGTGCTCACTGATTATAATAGGGTTAATGCAAGTTAAAAACCTATTTCACATAATTTTTTTAAAAGTATCTGAATATACCTATATAAAGATACACTCTTTACTTGTAATGGAAGGATTAAATATGGTAGTTTTCACATTTTTCCTACTGTCACATAAACTACTTTGACTTTGGAAATAGAAAAGTTCAATATTTGAGTGGATGAATGAAAATACTGGAATTGAGAGGGCAATTGGTTTAAGCTTTAAATGCTCAGATGCAGACTTGTTTTCTGTGCAAATGCGTATTGTGACTAATGTTATAAAATCTGTAGAATGGTTGTTTGCCAGATGATGTTGTTGGTGTTTGTTTTTTTTTTAATTTTTGCTGGATACGTGTAAGAAAGTGAAGGGTTACTCCAAGAAATGAATGACCATTTTCTTTTCTTGTATCTTTGCATAATGTATATTAATCCCAATCAAATCTTTAAAATTTAACTTAAAAAAAAGAAGAAAGAAAGAATAGTACAAGTGCACATACTATTAAATTTCAGAACTCCTTTACAGTTCACATTCTGCTAATTCACAATACGTTTTCCTGTATTGTATTTTACTGTAAAATGCATTTTAGCACTGTACAATAAAATATACTTTACTATAATACATTCACAATAGAAACTTGTAATAAATAAAAATACTGAAATGGCTATGGGTATATGTTATTGAATCAAAGCTAATGACATTAAAAAACTGGTGTACAAACATAAAGGTATACCTGAAAAGACAGGCTTCTTTTCCATTTGATGTTTATATAGAAACTGTTCTACTTCTGGAGATTTCAAAAGAGCCATTCTTTTTTCATTCAAAATCTCATTTAAAATTGCATTTTTAAAATGGTGTGAATCTGCCGAGATGCTTTGTTCACAAGACTGGGGAAGTTTGATATTACTTCCATTAACAGATGATGAATCAGTTGTCTCTTTCAATAACATGTCCAGCTTGATGTTTGCATCTATTTCAATGGCCTGGTTTAATTCCTGTTTTCCAGGATCAGATTGTACTGGTTGATTACTGTGTGGTTCCATCACAGACTTCTTATTGATAATGTGACAGAGATTGTTGTGCCAAATATTCAGAGGTTTTTTAAATTTCTAAACAAAATAAAAATCAAAAGTAAATATATTTTTGCCAATATTTAATTTTTAAAGATATAAGTGTAATCCAGTTTATTATTCTGACTACATCAAAATTTATTTGATTTGACAAACACTATACGAGAGTTACATAATTTCATCTGACAGTTTCAACATTTAACATTTATTTCTTGCAAACTTAAGTTACAATATTATATAACTCACTAAATGTATCTTAATAATATTGTGTCACAGAATGTTTTATTATATTTCATATAATTTCCCATTAACTTACCAAATCTGAAACCATGCAGAAGGTTTAGTCTGCATTCTTAGTTCAAACATTCCACTTAACTATCTAAATTACATGTAGGTAAAAATGCAATCTGCCTTAACTGGGACATAAACCTATGATTTCGATGACGAGGAACCCACTTTGAGATTAATAATGGCTGGAGACGGCTTAAATAGGTAATGAAAAAAAACTTTAATATAAGTTTAACATAACAGCAAATGTACAATGTTTCGAC